AGTGCCTATAATCTCCACTTCCGATAGCCGCGAATCACCTTCTGTTGCGGCGACGGCAGCCATGGTATCATCATTCCATGTTGGTGCACGGCATTGGGGAGTTTGAAGCATTTGGATGAAGTTGCTGCTTACGCAGGGAATCCAAAGAAACAAGACTCCTTTTTGCATGTATATGACGAAACCCCAGGGACCCCTAACGTGGACCAGTACTGTACTTCAACAGCCTGAAGAAATAACAATATTCTCCCCCTGTAGCCCTTGTATAACTCTACTGTCACGTGCTCCCCAAGCCCTATTCCAACTGATTTCGCTCCTACCCCGACCCCCTAAAGAATCCAAAAAATGGACCCCCCCCCCCAATATGAACCCATTACTACATTGGGGAAACTAGGGGATTCTTAGGGGGTTCCATTTTTTGGATCCTTTAGGGGGTCTGGGTAGAGTACGATGCAATAGTGACCCTCGATACTTTTGCAACTGCCAGCCTGGAGTTCATCAGCGCACTGAACCTGGATCAACATTGGGCCAATAATTGGCCATAAAGCAAACCTCTTGTTTTGGTGGTTTTGTATGTAATTCTTATACGAGCAAAGAGATGGAGATTTCGGATTGTCTTTTTCTCCAAGTTTGGAAGCTATGCTTTCTGGATTTTGTGCTAGCCTCAAATACTGCTTGAAATATGGGCGTTTCTCCACTACACGTGGCTCTTGGGGATCCAAGGCGTATAAGCGGATTTTCGGGGTCACCGTTAATCGAGGATTCTGTAGGGGCAATCTTACCTTCAGCTCTGAAGACTAAACTCCCACATATCAATTTCTAGATTAAGCCCGAAACCCTAAAACCCAAACCCTCTAAATCCTAAACCCTCAAAGCTCTAAAAGCTTACCACTACCTAGGGCACCCAAACTTCCTTCATCTCAAACTTTCAAAAAGTTAAAGCTCAAAATGACGCCCCCAAACCCCAAGTAATGGTAATCTACCCTAAACCTAAAACCCCTAAACCCTAAACCCTAACCCAAAAGATGCTGGAACAATGACACAGGAACGGCATTCGTCATCACGAAGCTTTCGACTCCTGGGCTCTGACGCGGCTTGATGCTTGTCCGGAAAAGCCTTCCTCAATATTATTGCCCCCACCCAGGAACAGTATATTAGGGGTCCTAATAAGGGCTATATATAACCATATTATACTTTTTATCTAACTGTTACTGAGGGGGGGCAGTACCCAACCCCTAGCGTACGGGAATATTCGGA